AACTTAGCAAAAATAAATTTAAAATTAAATTTAAATTAAAAAAATAAATGAATAAATTTTACAAATATTTTACTTTGCACCACATAAATGTAAATAATATGTAAATTTCTCATACATTTCGAAGGGGGGTGTTAGAACCCCCAAAACCCTTCCCTGCGTTCGCGCCTATTATTTGTTGTATTATAATAATTATATAGTAATTAAATTATTCATAAAAGTACACCAATCTGTTTTAACACTCCTGGTCCCTTCGGCTTTATGGGCCCAGCATGAAAAAAGGTTGAGTATATAAAAAATGAGTGAGTGCAAGTAAGAAAGGGATATGCACGAATATAATGTCGTATATAGGAAATTGACAGTAAAACTTTCTGTTGAAATATTTTTTAAAGTTGACATTATTATAAGAACGGAAAATTGTATAGTTTACGTAGTAATAAGGTTCACCTAATTATGTGACTAACTAATAATAAAGGTAAATAAACTTCGGAAACTTTTCAATTCACAAGCCGTACAACAATTTTAAAAATGTATATGATACGTTAAAACCAAAATTAAAAAAAAAATCGTTGTCAAAAAGTGCAAAACATCCACCCACTATTAAGCCTACGCGCTGCCTGTAAGTTAAACGCCGATATCCCGTATTTCAGTACACCGCGTCATGCCGGAACATGTCGAGATGTATTGAGAGTACGAGAAAGCGACGTGTTAACTATACAGGAAGAACGAAGTATTAATCGTAGGCTAGTAATATAGGCCGGGCCACCGGCAGCTTCCCAGCTGCATACCCCGCTATTTGCACAGTTAAGGCGCCCTCCGTGTGCAGCGGGTATACTACAGCCAGATCTCGCATACCGTATTACTACTTACCTGTGTCATGCCTGAGCGAAGTATATGTATCTGCTTTCTTGCTTCAATGTGCGGTGAGCGTTTAAAAGTAAAGATATTTTTAACAACAAATATTAAAAATATAAAACTAAAATATTTACACAAAGCCCCTATCGATATTTGAAAACGATTTGTAGAGTAAATTTTGCCTATATTACTTGTGAAGGCTGATAATCGCAGTTTTACTAAAATCGTGAAAAAGCACTTAATATTAATGCGAAAGGCCGAGAACTGTTGTAATGGTACTAGTTTACTGAACCGATAATCCATGCAAAAGCAACAAACCTACATGCAAACGAAAATCTTGGAAAAATCACCTATTCCACTTATAAATTTAAAACTTACCGAATAAAACTGATGAATGGATTGCAAAATATTCCATATTGTATTATAATGGTGCCATCGCTTTAGTACTAAACAAAATCACAAATACACACTTGCGAAAATGTTAGTTTATGATACAAAACAGTTTAGTTTCCACGTAAACAAGGCAATTTCCACGCAACTATCGGCGCTAACACACGATCTCAATGCTGTCTACGAAGGAACTGATGTGTGGCCGTGAATCGTAACAGGCGGTAACTGGTGACGTTATCGACGAGCTTTATCACGGAGAGCTTTCGAAGTCGTATTCGACGTTGCGAATTAATGAAAATTACTTTTATATCTAAAATTCAATTTTGGACAGGAAATGTTGTTAATAACTACATTTAATTTGAAAAATACTACCTGTATTGAAATGGAAAAATATAAAAGTTTGTTTATACTGTAAAAATTTTCTGTCAAGTCAATTTACTACCTCTTGCTAACATAATCATACAAAACAGTCCTATGCGACCAAGGACCAAACGTCTGAGTGTCCTACTTCCTAATATTACATTATAATCCAGAAATTGAACTGTGAGGCAAATAAGGGTAAATAAATACAAAATTGTAATTATTTATTGCAGGAGCATTAAATAAGTAATAAAATTTACTTATCTAAATGATTTTTGTGATGAAATTACATTCATTCAATGTAGCATAGTAGTACAGTTTTAAGTTTTAAAAACAAAAATAAACTCTACTCTAGAAAACAAATAAGTAATGTAAATATTACAGCAAAAATTATTTCTTGAACGTAGATACTTACCTAGTAGTTTTCTGAAAATAAAACTGATCTGTAAGTGTTTTCGAGAGAGAGAGAGAGAGAGAGAGAGATAGAGAGTTTCTTCTGTATCATTTTTGTTAAAATTTACATTATAAAATATTTAAACGAAACTTGTAATTAAATTATTTTCTATGGGTCAATTCAGGCATATTATTTATTTTATATAGTTCTCGACGTTCAGCAGATATATGTAACCTTTTAAGATAATATAAGGACAAATTTTAGATTAGCACGCCTGACCGACCTTGTTTTAACAAAGATATGAGTTTGAGTTTAACGTCACAATATATTTTTAACGACATTTTAACGTGAATTATTACTCGTAATAAAAAACATAAAACAAAGCTCCCACAAAACCTCATTACTTAACAAGTTTTTCAGAAAAGCAAGAGATATTTTCAGATACATGTTGTTGAAAAAATGTTTTTTACACGTCCACCATTAAAAGAAAAAATGCTGCGTTCGATGAACCTTTTGTACCTGCATACATGACAAAACCATTACTAGCTCTTGTAAATTATTAAACGAGTAACAATTTATTTAATTCAACTGCAAATAAAACAGTTTTGACCTTCTAAATCTTCACAGAAGATTGTGAGACAAAAAAGAAAATTGATGTATTTTTTTATCGACTAAATTGATGATAAATGCGGTTCATTTCGATTGATGAGACAAAATTATACTTTATTCCACAATTACATAACATAAACAAGAATTACAAGCATACAAATTACATTTTTGTATACGTAAATGGAATTCCTTATGGGCCTGTGTGAATACTACTTTGAAATAAAAAAAAAATATTTTTTTAAAGAACTTGTTTTATTAAAATTTCCTAGAAATTAACAATTCACACTTTCAATACATCACATTCATTTTATTACAGGTAATTTATTTATAACGACATAGTAATTACGTAATTCGAACTACCTATTGAACTCCGTAGGATATGTGAAAAGTAGAAAAATAAGAGACCATTTCGATTAGGTTTTTCTAGGGGAGGTTAGATGTCATCGTGTCCCAAGTCGATTAAATAATTACATGTATGAAGACCGGAGTAGTTTGAAGTATTGCTTGTGTAGATTTTTTTTAAGTAGTTTCAAATATAATTACGTAGTTATTTTTAGACTCGCCGTCCACTTATCGTGATAGAATTGATAACAGTAGAACTACCAGTGATAGAAAACTTACCACACCTGAAGCAAACAATAATAGAATTATTTTTTTATCAAACTAACCCTTCTCGTAACAACTAACAGAGAAAAATTTGTGTTACAATATTACGAAAATTTTAATTATTTTATTCAAACATCATCTGTTTTAATGATTTATTTTTATAATTAGCAAAGGACCGTTTGCAGAAAAATATTTTATTTATTATTAATTTGGAAAATCATTTAATTTTTATTCACTACAAATTAACTCAAATTAATAAAAAAAAATTGTTGTTGCTGTCACATCCTCGCCGTATATTACGCGTGATCTTCCTCAATCTTGCAATCAGGGGCGAACGCAGAAAATATTTTCGGGGGAAGGGGGCTGATTTTCATAAGAGAACCTTGGTCCCGGTTTCAATTCTCAGCTAGGGTATGACAACAGCTACAATTTTTCCTCATTAACTTGAGGTAATTAAATAGTGGATAAAAATTAGAAATTAATTTTCACATTANATAAACCATTGAAATAATTAAAAACTTGAATAAATAAATATAAAATAGTTAAAAAACGTTAACAGCTAATAGTTACACAGCAGAACACATAATCATAAAAGTAACCATGGTAAAAATCAACCAAAATAGTGAGAAGCTTGCGAATTCAACAAAATGCTTTTGCTACCTTCTCTCCATCTTGGTTTATTATTACCTTGGTTAATTTTATGGTATTTTAAATGTTATTTTATATAATTATTTATCTCTTCAGGGGTTTACAGTTAATTTAACTATGCCTTTCTCATATTAATTATAACATTACCTCCTGTTGAAGCCAAGAATGTTGGAGAAAAATTGAGAGCTTAATAAATCTAACTACATTAGCCCATCATTTCTTTTAACAAGAAAATACCTATCGACATCCTCAACTTTGATTATCTTTAATTTCAACTAGTACGGTAATTACCTACTAAGGTTCAACGTTAGACATTGTAACAGTTCGACCATAGGAGAAATTGTAAACACAAATATATATCAAAAGAACAAGTCCAAATTTGATTTTTAAATGAAAAAACTCATACATTTATTAGTTATTATAATTTTTGGTACATATAAAATGCAAATAAATTTTATTGCGACTACTATGTAAAATCAATTCTTTAATAGGACACGAATGTTAGTACATAGAAAAAATATTTTTGGCAATTTCAACAATGTTCTCTTAACAATTGTAGTACTTATATAACAATTTGGACTCATTCTACAAACAATCTATTTAAAAAATTGCATGTCATTATGAAAATATAAAATGTAAAAGATGTGCAAAAAGTCTTAGACATTTCGGGAGGTGGGTGGTTAGAACCTCCACAACCCTCCCCTGCGTTCGCGCCTGCTAACAATTTGAAGAGACATGGTGAAAAGTTATTAAAAAAAATAAAGTCAAAGTAGTAAATTTAATAAGTTTAAAATAAGGTTTAATTAATTACCTTTGAAGTGATGTCCAGAGTTTGTGGGGATCATAATTACTGTGGGGGTTATTTCTTCGTCTATGAATTGGTAAGTCGCATTGAACCCTTTGCCGTCAAGGCGGTCGTTGGAGCGAAAAGTTACCCTGAAAAACACCCTGTCCGATTCAACACTAAATTCGTTCATTTGACCACAGTATCTTGAATATTTTCTGTCTCTGTTCATGTAGTTCGAAAATTCTACATAATCACTTGCTGTTGTCGCTTCACAACTATAACAATGAAAAAAACAAGGTTTTTGGATGTTCAGTTGTCTTCTTAATCTTGAAGATTTAATTACAACTTACGGTATAACTCCTTCGACGTCGAAATAAAGGAAATGTAGTCGAACTCTTTCTCCCTGATTACCATAAAAGTAAAAATGGCATTCGGTGTCCCTAGGATACAATCCCGGAAAATTGGGACTGTGAAAATGTCCCTTTACTGAAACACTGCTATTATATACGAAGGCACATGGATAATCCGGTAATTGTACACCACTTTTGATTCCAAAATCTGCAAAAACAATCAACTTATAATCAAATTTTGCGTTTTGATAAGTTTTGTAAACCTTCTGTAAAGATGTAGGTGGCCTTAAATCCTCTGGAATACCTTGACCCGGAAATGCCATGGAATTCCAACTTCAGTCTTGGTCCATTTGACATGATGGGGTTTGGTAACGATGATGCACAAAACGTCTCAATCTTTTCCATTCTACCATCGATGTGCATGAAAGCCATTAGTGAATCTTGGTCATTACAGCTATAATTTAATATCAAATAAATCATTTAATATTCCTTATGGTACCAATAAAGGTATATAACACTTAATATTAGTTAAAGGAAGCATTTAAATTGTAGCGTATGTAGGACAATACAGGTATATTGGACAAAGCGATATAACTCTAAATATAAGAATTAAAGAACATGAGTATAACATTGAAAACGGATTTCCTATGTTCGATAGTGGTCAATAATGAATTGTAATTAGGTTTTATGTTAATAGGAAGTAGAACAATATAAAGCTTAAGTACTCAATATTGTTCAGATTGTTCTTAATTGTTTTTTGGTACATTTTTTCATTATTTGTTATAAAGAAATTACTGTTAGACACTCAACTAACTTACTCTTTAGAGTCTTCAGTAGGATGAAATAGATTAAAGTCCTGAAATACAATCTGCACCCTTTCCCTGCCTCTTCCAACAAAGTCATATCTACAAGTGGTCCTTTCTGAGTAAGGAGAAGGATAACCCGGGCTAGTAATCGATCCGTTTTTTGCTGTGTCACTAGTGTATGTGTTATCACAGCTTGATCCTGTAAGCATAAATCAAACACATAGAATACGAATACATGACCCGAAATTGATTGTAAATAACAATTCCTTTACTTGTAAATAATCATTTATTTATTGTTTATGTGTGGTAATATGTTTAAGTGCCTTGGGGATATGCTAGATATTTCTAACGGACATACAATATTTATTTATCAGTCGTGTAAGTTTTTGACCAACCAAGTTTGTATGGTTTTGAGAGATTAACTAAAGGGCAGACTAGAGATGCTTTCTAAACTTTCTAGAGGGTAGGTAATGGGAACACTATATATTTCAAACACATTATGTCGATTATGACAACTAATATTGCAGAAAAGGGATTTTATTGATTTCAAAAGCCAGATATTCATAACAGATATTGGTAAGTGTTTTTAGGGATAAAAAATGGTTATCAAAAAATTGTTTTGATATCGTATTCTCATAAAAACTACGTAGGTATACCATTTTTTGTCGAAAAAGGTGCTTCATTTGAATCGCAGATTTTGCACGGTGAAGAGGAAAATAAAGTTTAAGTTTCATTGAATACATATTTTCGGG